CCCCGAGCCGGCAGCCGGGGGGGGGGGGGGGGACACACGGGCCTGAAACCCGTGGGCTTTTCTTCCTTCCCTGGGAACGGAGGGAGAGGGCGCCGAGGCTAAAAACTTGCGGTCTCTCTTCCGCTGGTAAAGCCAGCGGCCCTCTCTGTTGGATCGGGACAGGCGCGTCGCTTTTCGGTGCGATGCCGAAGTAAGACATCGGAGATGCTTCGGGATGTGGTCGCGGCTTGTTTCCGTCTTTAAAACAAATATAATTACAGGTAGTACTTGCTTTTCCAAAAGTTGGATACTGCACCTGTGGAAATTCACTGTTACTCCCTTTAATTTATTCCTTTCTCTGACTGAGACCAATAGATGCGTGCTTTTTTTTTTTAATTATTATTTTTATCCTTACTCTTTGCCACCTTTCCTCCTGCACAGTTGCTAAGCTCGTTTGTTTTGGGTTGGTATGGGATATGGGAGCAACAAGCAATATGGCCTTATGCTCCAATTCAGAGGTCTGTTTCCTGATAGTTTAAAAATGAGTATTTTTTTATATAGTCTGATGTTGGTTGGTAGATGAGTTTGTTATTTGACAGTAGTGGCCTTACAGAAGTGAAAGCAAAAAGGGAACTGCGGTTATATACTCGCATGCCAAGAAGTGTTCTAAATGAGAATGCTGTCTGTCTCTGTGCCACACCTTGGCAGTGTACGTAACAAAAAAACCTGAGAAACTGTTCCATATTTTTAAAAAAAGTGAAACTAGGCTCTCCATGTGAAGATCGTGGAATGTACTGATAAGTTTTATTGCATCTAGGTAAACACTTATGTAGTTCTATTGTTAATGATGAAATGATTATAAATTATCCATGTTTTAAAGCATGACTTTAAAGATGAGTTGAAATACTGTAGATAAAAGTTCTTAATCCTGAACCAAAACACAGTTTGGATGGTTTTTGATTTTTTCCTCTTACTTGCAAATACTGACTGATGTATGGGGTTCCATAAATGATATAGCTGTGGATATACAAGTGAGCAAACTTAAAACAGGTCAAGCTGTCCAGGTATTGAAGATCTACAGGTGTGCGGTGCAAGGCTAAAAGTGGTATTATCCTGCCATAGCAGATGTATCCCAGGATGAATTGATTGATTGTCTTGTGTTTTCAGATGCTTAGCGTACACCCTGGGTGTAGCTGCTATGGTGTGACTTGCTCCAGGTTCGCATGCTTATGTCTGTACCCAAAGGTGGAATTAGAGATGTGACCCCGTGGGCTGTTTGTTGTTTTATTTTATAATAATTAGCAACTCAGATTTAGATTTGACAAGGTAAACATTTTTCCTATTTGAGAATTCAGGCATCACAATTATTAAATATTGATAAAATCTGTGTGTCTGTATGCAGTCAGCATATATATTAATTGGTTGAAAAGGTAGCTTTAATAAAGTCGTCTTAATTTTCAAAGCTTTAATCGGTTGTGATCTTTCCAGAACTCATGGTAGAGAACTACAAGCCAGAAGAACAAAAAAAAAAAAAAACCCAAATAAAATTATGCTAAAAGACCAGACTAGAGGATTTTTTTTGTCTAAACATGTTTGAAAAGCCTCTGAAGTAAAATGGAAAAAAAAAAAAAAAAAAAGCATAGAGAGCACATTCAGGTATTAAGAAGTCGATAGCCATCCTGCCAAGGGGAAAGAATGGTGCATTTTTTTCTTCCTTTCCTTTTTTCTTTTTGTCAAACTGAATACTCTTAAGGTGCTTTTTGCAGAATCTTTCTGATGCTCATCTTGATGCCAGAAGTTATATGCTGGGGAGAGGGGAACGGACCTATTGTGACAGTAACTGCCAAAAAACAAATCCCTCTATCTGTTTAGGCTTGTACATTTCAACAGTCTCATCTGTTATAAGATCAGAAGTTATATATTTTTAAAGATTGTGGAGAATATTTTGTTACTTTGAATATGTAAACTTGTCGTGTCTTTTGACAGGGAAGATGCTAAAAATGCAACTTCAAAGGCCTGAAAATTGATCGCATTCATTTTTTCTCAGTTAATTTTTGTTACTGTAATATAACTAAAGCTAATTAAATGTATAATCATTATTCAAAGCTGATAAACACTGGAGACGTGTCATTTTATCCTGCTGTTCCATGTTCTGATATCTTCTTAGTGTCCTGGTGTTTAAAAAGATTAGTCGAGAAAGACAGAGCACCTAATTTCTTAAGAAAATGTGATTGATTTAGCCACTCTAAAGGGGCTTCCTTCCCCTACATATATTTAACTAATAGTTTAAGAGGATGTTGTTGCAATAGATTAGTATGCAACTGACAAAAGGTAGTGAGAAGATAACAGTGCAGAAGCAATTCTGCTGTTTCTCTTTGGAAAACGTTATTTTTGTTGTTTACATATGGCATGTTTAGGCAAATCAACTCATATGTTCAATTTTAATACTTCTAAGATAAATTCTGATTTCTTCCTTACCTCCTGGCCCTTCTAGGCAAGGACTTAGTTACGATGGTAGGAAGGAGTCACATACTCCTGAGTCTGTGATGGACAAGGCACCTTGTCTTAACGTGCACTAAGCTGTTTGAGTGAGTGATTGAAGGAGGATGGGTCAGCGATTGGATTTTAGTCTAGACTGGGAGCTCAATTTAACCTCCAGTTCTACGAGAGACTTTTTTGTCTTAGCAAAATGACTTACTCTTTGCTGCTCAGGTCCCCATCTGGAAATAGAACTTATATTTCACTGCTTTGGAGGCTTTATAAGGGTGAATATTCTCAGTAATACACACTTCCTTGTTTTGAAAAGGAGAACAAATACATGTAATAGATGATAGTAAGTACAGTAAATATTCTATAGCTTTAATGTCTAAAATATTACCAAAAACAAATGGTCAAGCTAAAGCATGAGAAAAATTACCAGAATTAGGACAGCACAACTGGGTGTCCTGTGGTTACTGTCCAGCATTGGAATGTGTTGCCACGATTGATTGGACTGCAGTCTAACAAGAGTCATCTTCTAGCAAACTATATATTTAACTATTTTTATTTCTATAACTCGAAGCGTGCCTCTTTAAAGTAGAACTACACCAAGTGGATATATACGCTACGTTCTTTTATGGATCAGCTATGGACATAGGCTGGGTATGTTAGCCAGAAGCGCCATGAGAAATTGAGATGGTGCTTCTGTAATATTTTGTTGCCGCTGATTTGGGAACTCGCTTTTATGGTCAGTAGAAATGAATACTTAAGTTATTTCATCTAATTTACTGAAAGAGGGTATTACTGTTCTGTAACTCGGTTCTGTGGACCTTGATTGTTGACTTTTGGCCAGTATTTTAGGGATCGAAAAAGAGCAAGAGAGGGACCAATGCCTTGGTGATGGCTTGAGAGCGCCTAAGTTTTCAGATTGCTTGTTGTAGCTGTTAAACTTGCTTTGCGAGACGTTTCAGTCAACGCTTTTAAAATGCAAAGGGCGTTTAAAATGGGGGGGGAGACAGCCCCCCTCCCCTTCTCCTTATAAAACAGTTTATGGTGCCAGATTTTTAATAATATGCACATAGACTAACATCACGGTAAGTTTTAGAACAATAGTTGAGTCACTTCCTCGTTGTTTGCTTGCCAAGGCCTAGTACTAGGCTGCTGGAGTTTCATAGTAACAGGTGACATCATTCCTGCCTAACACTCCGAAAGGGCAGGAGCTCTTCGGGGTGTAACTGATGCAGTCACCTGGTGCAGAAGCACAACACGGCTTGCAGTTGTTGTAGCTTTTGGTTTTTCTGTATTTTTTTGAAAAGGACTGTACGATTGTGCTACAACTAATGACCTGCTTGGCACTCTGAGCTTCCTATGGGCATCCAAAAAATTGATTAAACTTGTCAACTTATGTGTGTAATAATGTATTAGAGCATTTTGGGATAGAAGGTAGAAGATGCACCGATGAATGCCCAGTATTCATACATTAAGAAATTAAAGTTAACTTAAGGCTTCAGGATCCCACATATTCCATGACCAGTTAATAAATTGTCTTCGTATTTTGTAAAGTAGTTCTATATATTTTAAATGGATATTTGTCTTCCAACATCTGCAATGATGCTATTATGCAGTGAGCTGATCAGTTTTGGGTTCATCATTCAAATGTGCTTTATATACTACTGGAATGTTTTTATTTCTTTTTTCTTTTCCCCTCTGTTTCTTTTGCACTTTCTACGCTGAGCGTACCCCTTGGTTGGGTGATCTTATTAAAAGCCAGCCCTTGGAGATAGTATCAATAAAAAGTCATACTGTTTAGACTGCGTGTTTTGCAAATGCATCTCATGTATTTTTAAAGCTAGTAAAACAAAGCTTGTGTCATTGAATCCGATCCCCTACTGCTGAAGGCAAACGCGAAGCAGCGTAAACTTTTTTAAAATTTAACTCTTCTAGTTGTGTGTTAAATTTTAATGTCCAAAAATGAAACTAGTTTGTGTGGAATCTCAATGAGACTCTGGGAGAGGTATGCTTGTTTTGGTTTGCTTATTGAATTGTAGCTCAAAAATGCTAAGGTGACTATGCTAAGACATTGAATACTCAAAGAAAAGTTGTCCCTTAATATGCATCCTGGAAGTAATGTCTCTTTCGCCTTGGCCTTGGGTCTGCCATTGATTGTAGGTAGCTCAAGGATTTTCTGAAGGAACTTATGCAATGGGGACCAACAAAAGTCTGAATAAATATTGAAATAGGCTCAAGGAGACTTGTAATTTTAAATGGGTGTTTTGATTAAAATTGATTTTAATGACGATTATTGTGCTAATCTTCACAATCACTGTGGTGTTTTCGCTCCCATCTCTTCTACTTGAAGATAACATGGATTAAACAGTATACCTGTCTCTTCTCAGGTTTTAGTGAGCTCTTGCTAAACAAGGCAAGGAATTGAGTGACTCTGAACAAAGTTTGTGTGTGTGTGTGTGGGGGGGGGGGATTGGATTAGCTGTCTTGTTTTTTTTCTTGACAGAAGCATATTCACTTCACTTGCTGAAGCTTCCCTAAGCTGTTAGTGTGTAGAGATATAGTAGACAGCAGTGGAATTAAATTAGAACCCCTCTAACTCCCAAAGGGCAATGACTATGTTAGTCACACTAAAATCCGATACATGAAATTCACGCTTTTGATGCTTCTTCCTAGTTGTAAAAGCACTGTATTTAAAAAGTTGAATTCTATGCATTTCTGAAACTGTATAGTTTTGTGGTACATGCTTTCTTTATACTTTTCCCTTGTGCTGAAAAGGAACGTACAAGGAACAATATATATTTTTAACAGGACTAAGACTGTGTGTGTAAAATGTGCTGAGACAGCACCAAATGCTGCAGAACTTCATGGTCCTGGCAGTTAGTGTATCATTAGTCTAAAGAGAGCAGCAGCTTCCTTGCACACTTGTTTTATATGTGGTATGTTATTCTGGCTCTCTGAAACAGTACTCTGGAAACTTGTAAGAGGTAATGACTAGTTTTGATTTTGCAGTTTTCTCGGATAATTTATACTGAGGCCTTTTTTATGGAAATCATAGCTAAACAAATTGAAAAAATATTACATAGTAATCGTCTTACCTGATGTATTATGCAAGTATGCTTGAGACACCTGTGGAAAGCTTTGAAAAATACTCTGCAGAGAAACAGCTTCTGTTATTTTCTGTACTACTTTATTTTTAACTAGGCTTATAATAGGTTTCTTGTTAACCTGTTCTTTGTCCATGTGTCATGAAGGCATGCTTCTGGTATCACGGAAAAAAATGAAATTTGATGGGTAAAGGACAGTAAAAATAGATGGGGGCAGTGCTATACAATAAAGATCCTGTTTTCAGGTCAATTCCCATGGTAAAATATGAGGGATGAAAAAAAAGCAATGTTTGATACTGCTAGAACTGTTTGAATGGAGTTTTCTTGTGTTATGTAGGACCGTAGGGAGAAATGTATTCCGTGGAAAAGCAATTGCCTGCGTTAACAACTTTTTTCTACTCATCAGTCAGGGTTTAAATAGTCCAGTAAAATAGGAGCTAATGAAACAAGTGCTGATTATGTAACTACTGTGTATTTCAGCTCTTATCATTTTTTTCCTCTTCTTTTAAGTTTTTCTAAATTAAAACAAAAACTTATGTTTAAGGGGTGGGGATTACTGACCTCAGCTTTCTGATTTGGAGTATATTTCGATTTTGTAACTTAAGCACTGACTTTGTGTTTCAGGTTAACGGACCTGATGGCATTCTGCAGAACGGAGCTGTGGACGATAATGTGGCTAAAACCAGCCAGCTTCTGGCAGAGCTGAATTTTGAAGAAGATGAGGAAGATACCTATTACACAAAGGACCTCCCTGTGCATGCCTGCAGGTAGGGCCCAGTATTTACCCCGAGCTTAATATTTCCAGAAGGCAAGAGCACATGTTTCTGAACTGTAATTTTAATAGCGAGTTTGTGTGAGTAAAAGGTGTAAGCTTAGAGGATTTCTAGAATTTGAGAATAACTTCCTTGGAGACATCTACATACTGGCAGGAAAATAGTGCCCTCTGGTGTGCTGTTGCATACACTTATAGCTTCCACTTGCAATAGATCTTTGACTCCTATAAGCAGTCACCAAATCACTTCCTTTTTTTTCTTCTCAATTCTAGCTACTGTGGTATCCATGACCCAGCTTGTGTGGTTTACTGCAACACCAGCAAAAAATGGTTCTGTAATGGGCGTGGAAATACATCTGGCAGGTAAATGATCAATGATGGAAATGACCGTGACAGAATCTTGTTCTAGAGCGTGTTCATTTTGAAGGGGCATACTTGGTGTGACTCACCTTTTGGTGACAACTGAAGTCTGGTGACCTAAATGTGAATCCCCAACCTCTTTTGCTTTTCTACCATGATGAATGTATGCCTCGATCCCAGTAAAGCTTGAATTACATTGTGGGGTGAGCTTACTGCTTCTAGGTGCTTGTAAAGCAGCATAGCTGATGTTCTTAGCATGTGGGGCTTTAGGGGGCTTCTTTCTATTATCAGTAAGATAACTTTCACAGTCACCCTAGAGCATTCATGCACTGAGAAAATGTAGAGACTGTGCTAGCAGTCATCGTTGCCTAGATGAAAGCAGCAAGACCTTACCAATGTCTGCCACAGTATAAATAGATTCTGCTTGTGTCTTGCAATGTTAATGGAGCTGCTATATTGTCTTAAATTGGGGCTAAATCTGACTTTAGTATTAACTTCTTATAAATGTATATCCTCTCTGGTTTCAGCCACATTGTTAATCATCTTGTGAGAGCGAAGTGCAAAGAGGTGACGCTCCACAAAGATGGGCCTCTAGGAGAGACTGTCTTGGAATGTTATAACTGTGGATGTCGTAATGTGTTTCTCCTGGGCTTTATTCCAGCGAAGGCAGACTCTGTGGTTGTTTTGCTGTGCAGGTGAGAGAATGCCTTTATTGGCACATTTGTAGCAAATTTATTGCATAATCTTATTTCTAACGGGCCAACTCTTGCTCTCGTTTTCTACCGAAAATATTTCAATATTATTGTATATTCATTATTGTTACCATTCTCTCTTTGGGTGACAGTACAGACTTCATGAGTTAGACAATTAGACAATGCAATGAAGAAATGTTCTGTTATGCTTTATAAATGTCTTAGTAGTATAAAAAGAATCTCTTACAAATGAAACAGTTCTTAATGGAATAAAGATATTGCCCCCCTTGGTGTTAAACTGCTGTGGTTTTCAGATTTGGAAGCGAAACCAATCAGTTTAAGAAATGACTCTGGAGCCATGCTGGAGTAGTGTCAGACGCTATTACAGAACAAACTTCTTTTGTCAGCTCAGAATTATTTGAAGATGAGAGTAAATTGGAAATTTTTCTCTGACAGGATGTAGCAGAAGCCATGATTTTATAATTGTATATCTTTTTATTCAGTGCTGTCATTTACCATGTATTTGACAGTAGAAAGTGTTTCTACAGAATGAGTTCTCCTATTTGTTTTAAACAACAGATGGGAAGTAGTCCTGAGTGTATTCTAATATATTGTGTGTGTGCA